TGGTTGCAAGCTGACGTGAATAGCATGTGGTCAAGGACAGCGGTGTGCACGCAAACTGGAGCATGTGACAGAGATACACACCGACTGACAAGCGCGCAAATCGTGCCTGATCCAAGAGACAGATTCAATTTTCCTGTGTGGTGTTTACGGATGCATTCTGCAAGGCTTTTCTTGAATTTGCTTCAGACGGAGCAACTGGATTTTTTTGGAGTTGGCGTTGCGTGTTTTCCATTCGCAAGAGATTGAGACTTCTCCGCGGCTTGCCGAGCTCCTTCGTACTGCCGCCCTGTTTGATGACAAAGCTGACCGCTCCAGGTACCTGGCCCAAGTCATTGCCGTTCTCCAGCACACATCCTTGGTGGATGGGCTCTCTTGGAAAGGGGTGCGCCTGTCACTGCGTGCTCAGGGCCTGAAAATGGTGAAGACACTGCATCAGCGGCTATTGCTGCAGAGTACCAGGTTTCACTCCACAACTCCTTCGTCCTCCACAGCCACATGCTTTGATTGCTGGGGTGGCTCGTCTACTTCATCTGCCAATTCCGCACAACCAGCAGCGAGCGCGTATGCAGATATGGACAGAGAGCTAGAGGGATATTTAAATGATATATCCGATGGCACCCTGGTAAACCCAGCAGAAATTTCGCCTCCTGCTGCAGATGCGCCAGCTCCAGATCAAAGTGCTGTTCCAGAGCAAAATGTGGAAGACCTGCAGATAGTTGAGAAAGATTCCTTTGAGAAAGTGAAGCGTCGAAGACTCATGCCCAAGGCGCAAACCACTGTTAAGGATTTCCGGGACATGTTTGAAGCATACAGTACCACAAATGCAGACTTGCTGCGGCCGGGCCTCAAAGAAACTGGTGGAAACGATGGAAACATTCTCAACCGATGTCACAACCTTATCAGCTACACTCGTGCCCGGCGTCCAACATGGTCAGAGCACATGATTCGATTGGGGGCTTGTGCGCTGGCGTGTTGCAATGCCAGACTGGGTAACCGAATGTTCATTGGTGACAATGCCTTTTTTTCTTTGGCTTGTGGAAGGGGATCGGTATATTCGTGTGCATTCTGGTTTCTGCTATATTTACAACGGGAATGGCGCTTTCCTTCCTTATTCTGGAATTCCTCCACAAGCGGTTCTCTTCAGAGTGTGTTCTTTCTTCACCCAACTGGAAGGCCTCTTCAGACGTATGAATCCAGCTGTGCAGCGCAGAGAGGACCTGATTTTGCGTGCGATAGCTGCAGATGCTGAAAGCTTTGGAGATGAAGAAGGGTTCCTGCAAGCTTGCAACAAATCAGCTATCTTTCAACAAGCTCCAGACCATGAAGCTGAGAACGGAGACGATGCTGTGGAAAGAGGCAGCGGGTGGACACAGAAAGTGGCTGACCTTATTTGGAAGGTATGCCAATCTGTCCGAGGAGATACGATGCACGATCGACTTATTTCCTTGTTGGTCGAGTGGTGCGAAACTCCTAGGGCAGCAAAGAAATGTGTTGCGTATGAAGATACCTGTGTCTTGTATGACACCACTATCGAGATTCCAGTGCGTCATGTGCCAAAGAAAGCTGATAATAACTGCTACGTCTACATTCCGCACAGTCTGCTGGATCCTGTCTTGTCGCAACATGTCAGACGCTTGCAGCAATTCTATGAGCAAACCTTTTGGGCCAATCATGATGTGTTTCTGTGCAATCAAGCGGCCTTGGCGCTTGCAAAGCGCGGTGTGAATGTCGACAGGTGTTTCATTGGTGAGTCGCCTGGTGGTGTTGGCCAAAGCCTCTTCTCTGCGCATTTGGATGCCATGCTAGGCCACAACCATGGCTTTTTCGATCCAAACATTTGGTTCCACGAAGACGAGTTGCGCAAGCAAGTGGAGTCCTACGCCCGCTGCATTGTCATCACCGGCCAAGAAGCACCTGAATCGCACAAAAAAGATGCATTTGGACTTGTTCAAGAAGACAATGTCGGGCGATGGAATCGCGGGAAGGAAGCCATATGGCTACACCACCCGCATGTTTAGCATCGTCGGCTGGGAGCGGCTTGAAGTCAACCGCATGATGGTTTTCGTAGGCATTGACGACTCCAATTTCCAATCTGTCTTTCGCAGGGCACTGGTGTGGAAACCAAAGGCCCGGTTCCACCACGATACAATGCTGCAGAACCTGCACGCGGATCATGAATTAGACGGCCACTTCCGCGCCGATCCAACGCTGAAACAGTTCCTTGTCTCAGCGCCTGCTTGCGCTGCCGGCTTGCAAATCCAGCACGCCTTCGAGGCACGCTTCCACCAAGATGCATGCATCAAACTCATTGACGACTACGCTACAGGAGGCGATGAGTATCTGACGGAAGACAAGCTGCGAGTCAGTTGCGGTCTCAAAATTCGAGCCCGGCATGTCGACGTTGTCGACGGAGGTGTTGCTCTTCTTGAAGTTCAGCGCAGTCAAGATGAGCGAGACCAGCGTGACTTGCAATACAAGAAGTTGCGACAGCTCATCATGGATGCCCTGTTGGATTGCTCACAGTCCGATATGACAATGGGCGAGTTTGTAAGAAAGGTCACATTGCAAGGGGAAGACCTGCCCAACATCAATAAAAAAACAATTATGGAAAGAATTGGAGGACAAGGGTTTGCTTATCAAGGCCAAACGAAAGGGCACCAGAGCAACTGATGTTTTGCAACCTCTTTTGGACATCAAACACAAGCTTCAAGATATCATTGACATCAAACCGTGCGATACTGCAACCCCTTTTCTGGAATCTCGCAACATGTGTCGCTTGAGCCAATACTTGGCCCAGCCGACTCGAGTTGTCAACAATGACATAGTCATGAAATACCTGGAGCAATGCAAGAGAAAGGTGGCGACCAGGGGCCGGAAAGGTGCCTCAGCGAAAGCAGAACAAAATGATATCGAAGAACGCATTTCCAAGTTCCAGTCCTACGAGAAAGTCTGTGCATCTTTCCAGGAAGGCCAAAATCCAGATGCGTTTGCAGTTGACACACTTGATTCGCAGGAGTTTGGGTACAAGTATGCTGATGGAGCCAGAATTCGTTCTCGCAGGTATGTTGTTGGTTCTGGTGCCCAAAAATGTGCGCAGCGGATCCAGTACCACCTCTTCCCACATACTATGGACTTGGACATCAAAAATTGCTGCTTGAAACTGACGTTGCAATTGGTGGAAAAGACAGAGCCATCTCCTTCCATGCCAGAGGATATTTTGGCGGTCTTGCAGGAGTGGCTTCAGCCAAGGGACGAAGTTTGCAAGGACATGTTGCAGGTTTCGACGTCAGAAGGGAAAAAAATCATTAATGCTGTGCTGAATGGAGGGTCTCCTCCAGAGAGACTGAAAGATTGCACCTTCGTGCGGAAAATGCAAAAAGCATCCGCCTATTTACGCTGGTTTGCTTGCAGTTTGTTGGCCGAAGATTATACAGACTTGCTGACTAGAGACGACAAAGCGTTCCCAAGCGCAACCGCATTCCATTATATGTGGACTGCTGTGGAGGACTTTGTCTTGGAACAGTGGCTGGAATTTGTCAAGCAACAGCGTCCGACACACGTGTCACTGCATTTCGACGGTGTGCGTGTGAACAGGGACATAACTGAAGGCAGCGTGGAGTCTTTCCTGAGACAGTCGGAGCAGCACATCAAAGCAAACACAAACTTTTCGGTTGACTTGGTCTGCAAGGAGCACTCGCACACGCAAGAGCTTATTTGCAACGCAGCGACGAAGACTGAAGATTTGACAGACCTTCCAGATTTGTTCGTCCAGGATGATGGGAATTGCGTGCCGTGCGCTCTTTGGCACCTTTGTGACAACACCAGCCAGTTCGAAACAATATTTTCATCAGACTGCCCGGAAAACAAGTACATGTCGGAACGAAAGCACAGAACGTATAAGCAGTGTTCTGCTTTGGTTGGTCAGCAACTTCAACCATGCCTGGGGCTTCCAGATCCCCTTCTGGGGAAGTTCGTATTGCATGCAGAAGGCAAAGGCAAAGGGCATTGCGTTGGTGTCAGCATTCCCGAGGGTAGTGATGAAGCCTTTGTGTGGAACGGATGTCGGAAGTATACGATGCCAGTGACTTCCTTCCTTGCTGCAGCAAGCGTTGGCATCGATCGACTGACAGTGGTTTGCTTTTCTTTAACTGACACATGCCCATCTGCTGAAGATTCCATGCTTTTAGATTTACAAGCTGGCTCCTTGTCAACAGATTCAGATTCTGAGGAAGCGCCAGACAGTGCTTTGATTGTTGATGACGAGGGGCATTGCAGATTTGAAGATGTTATCAGGGATTCACTCGAGGAGGAGGTGAACAGTTTCATGGCAGAGATAGACGCCAGCAACATCCGCCGAATGAATGGGTTTTTCAGATGTGCTCTCTGTCCGTTCCGTTGCTTCAACAGAGTCAGTCAGCTCCGGGATCATGTGCGTTTGTATCATGTGCGAAGCAATCAGTTCGTCTGTTCTGGCACAAAGCAAATGAAGAGAGTTCTTGCCTTGCATGATGCAGATAATCTTCACCGAAAATGTGAACATGCCTTTCTTTTTTCGCAGCTCCCAGCTACTTCGTTCTCAAGTGCAACCTCCGTTGGATGGGCGTTGCAACAACATTGACAAATCAATCCGTTTGCTTTTCACTGCCAATGGGCCGCAATACATCAACACCACTGCAATTGAGACGTTGTCTGTGCGAAGGGTCCTGAATATCTACTATGACAGGTCGTTCGCGGATGTCTTATACCGGGAGATTGTCCTACATCATTCGAATGCATCTTGGCCTTTTGAAGTTTTGTGGTGTCTAATCTAGGCTCAACAACTTTTCTTGCTAGTGACCGCATCTCGGAAAACGGTTTCTAAGGTCAAAAGCATTTGGCCTCGATTACATCTT